ATCACAATGTGGCCCTTGTCAAAGTTGCCCAAATCCATCCTTTTTCCTGCTTCTAACACATCAAATCCTACCCACTGACAGGTGCAATGATAACCAGATAATCAGTGCTTTTCACTTCACCTGTCAGTGCGTTTAGTGTTATGGCTGATCGGTGTGTATCAATATTTGCTTGGAAAAGCATATGAATGAAGATATTTTCAAAAACATTACATTATTGTGGCACATTAGAAATTAATGTATTTTTCCAAATACATTTCATTGAACTTAAGCCTATCCCTTAGTCTAAAATGTGGCCTTCCTTCCCTACTATCTTTCTTCCTCCCCTCTTCCTCCTCTCTGTTCTTTTTTGTCTCTTCATGCCAGCTGCATGGGTGGGCGTGCTGTGCTGACTGCAGAGGGAAGCAGAAAGGGTGTGACAGGGAGAGCAAGAGCAGAAGAAAGGCTCTCTACATTGATCTAGACTATCTTTTTCATTATAAAATGCAGATTAACAGTATCACCTAATTTTTTTACCAGTTCTACTTTATATTTACAGTAAACATCTAAGTGAGTTTTATTAGAGAGTTACAGATTTAAAATTATGGCTTTCTCCTTTCTTCGCGTTAAACTAGTTTACGATCGTCACCCGTGGCTGATTGAAAAGGCTCATATTTCAGGCTACGGGAAATTGAAATAGGACAAATCTATGTCACATTAATCTAAAATCTACTGGTATCACACACACACACACACATTAATGAATGTGCTGAATATGGAGATTTGTCTGCATTCAAGCCTCCCTGATGTACCATCAAAGTGACTGACAGGCCAGACACAACCAGCAGTCTGACCCCCACAAACCCCCTCAGAGACTCTAACCTGGAATATTTCTATCAGGGACAATCCAACACTGCTAATAACCAGTCTGAAACATTATCTTCTCAAAAACATAAACCATTAGTTGTTGTAATGCACTGACATGAGATATAATACATCCAGTATCCAGCCAGATACATGTATTATATCATGTAATATTTGAATAATCCTAATCATGTTGGTGGAGTATCTCCCAGTAACACTATTCAGCTCCTTTACTACTTTCTACACTGCAAAAAAAAAAGACATACAATCATGTTTGTCATCCAAACTGTTTTATTATCCAATAAAATAAAGCCGGGCGAATTCTGCTGACTGTCCAGTGCCTGTTGTCTGTCTGTGTTTTAATGGCAAAAGACAAATGGATGCGAAGGCCGTCCACTAATGCAAGACATAAAATCCATCTGCAGTTTGACACAGAGTGCAACGGTATTTAGGAGAAACACAAACTGCACAATACATGTTGGTTATTTCCCACATATAATATGTTTTCCAGCCCTGGCAACAAGGCAAAGATTAAGATTCCTTTGTTTCCTGACACAAAAGGGTGAATAATTAACAACAAAAAAACGGTTATCAGCCAAACATCGGTGTTGGTATCAGCCCAGAATTTCTTAATTAGTGCAACCCCTAAATTCAATACACACCAGGAAGTCACCCTCATTCAGCAAATGTTAAAAGAAATCAATTGAAAACATCGTTATTGACCAGCTCTCCATATAAAATCACAAATCAGCTTTATAATCCATCAGTCTGCAGGATGTTCTAGGGAGAATCTGTAAGAAAGCTGAAATCTGCCACAGCCATTGCCAGTGTAACCCACTGTAAAGGGTTATTCAGCTACATCAGAGGTTTGATAAATTCGCCTCTGCTTACGTTTCTTTTATTTAAAAAAAAATCTTTTTAGGGTTCCTATTTGTTTGGTTTGCATTCCCTCTTGAAACAAATTGCACAGCCAGAAGTTTTCATTTAAGTGAATATTGATTTCAGTGAGGAATGCTAATATGTCTTATTGAGGTTACAGTAAAGAACGTTTTTCTCCAGACCGTGACAAGTAATGTAACATTATTGGCCAAGTCTCTGACACACAGTCTTTGATGTAAAGTTTCAGATTTATCTTCATAAATTATGTATGAGTGCACTGAAAAAGTGCTGCAAAACTGCATCAAGCATCTGTTATGTTAACCAGCGACAGAAATTTTCAGTATACAGCTTTACTAAGACATTCCAGCACCGTTGAGCATCCCTTTTTAAGCTCTAACAATATGATTTCATGTGTTTTTTTTAATATATTTTCTGTCTCTTTAACTGCTCTTTCCCGTGTTTTTTGTCTTTTCTCCTGTGTTTTTCAGAGCTGACAAGCGAGCTGAAGGTGAAGCCTCCAGGCAGGAGCCAAATAGGTTTGTTAAAAAAAAAAAATCCCATCAACGTCTCTCCTTCATGCATCTGTTTTTCCTCTCCTGTCTAAACTTTATTTCTCTTCCTCTGCACTGGAGACAAAACAACAGACACACGTCCACCATAACTCCTGTAACGCCTGCATCCCTTCCCGCCTCCCTGTATCCTTCCCACCTCCCCCCATCCCCCAGAGGATAGATCCCTGTCAGCCCCCCTCTTCTCACCCATGCCTCTCTGTCTCTCCTCATTTACTTACCCACAAAAATCATACACAGACTCAATCACGGGTTCAAGTGCTTCCCTCTATGTGTTTATTAGCTTTTTTTTTATACATATGTGTCATTTTCCTGTGTGAAAGGAGGTTGTTTACAGCTGTGTGGGAGCTGCACACACTCGGCAAAGACAGCATGCCTCAACATATTTGGCTCATAGCTGACATGTGCAGGACCGTTTGTGGTCTCTGGATGCGGGGATGCAGAGATAGGCACCATTTTGTCACAGCGAATTAGAGACAGACCAGCGAGAGAGAAGTCAAAAGGCTGCGCGAATGTGTGTGTGTGCTTGTAGAGAGAAGGGTTGGGGGGGGGGTGCTTGGCTGCATTACTCAGCCATTAGACCCCATCTCCCTTTTCCAGGACAGGTTATCCCCAGATCCATCAATACAGCACGGCCCTCTGTTCTGCTCCCACCCTGACAAATTGATCCATCCTCTTTTTCTTTTCCTGCTCTCGTTTTTCCCTCGTTGTCCCAGCGGGGGTGTCCACTTACAGACTTTGCTGAGAACAAGCGAGACGTAGAGGCGAGGAAAAGAGAGAGAGAGAGGAAGAGGTGGAAGGAGAGAGGTAATGAGAGGTAGCGAGGAGAGAGATTAAGGGGGAAGACTAGGCGGCGGGATGCGGTCAGCTGCAGACATGGAGGAGGGAGAAAGAGGGGTATGAAGGGACGTGAAGATCACATTAGGTACTGTAGTCTATAGTTAGCATATGAGCTCAACCTGGGTGTGGTGATGGGCGACAGAAAACCTGAGACTGATCGCTCCTCTGGGGATTAATCCTGGAAGATACAGGGTTGAGGATATAGAAGGAAGGAAAGAGATACTAGAAAAGGTAAATCACAGATGAAAAAGGACCTATGATGAAAGTGAAGTCAGAAAAATAATACCAGAAAGACATCCGATAAGAAAGAGAAGCAGAGCAAGTGAAAATGTAGATAATAAAGCAGTAAGATGTAACAGAGTCAACCTCAAACCCAAAGCTTTTATCAATGTATGAAACACCCTATTACATTTAAGCCTAATATGAATTCTAGGTTTTATAATTTCACCTCCAGGACTCACTAAACCTCCCTCCGCCCCTTTGGGATTCTCCTACTCAGCAAACCTGACCTATTTCTATGGTCAGAGGCATCAGTGCCGGCCTCTGTGGATGTAAGCTCCTTCTCCTCTGGCAAGCCTTCGCTCAGTCAGCCCTGAGGTTGCTGCACTGACTTTTCATCCATACCTCGCTCTCCTCGGGGGAATTTTACTGGAATGAAAGAGCATAAAGGTTGCCTACAGAAGCAAAAAAAAAAAAAGCCCAATAAGCAGTATACTGCGGTTAAACCTGACCTTGGCAGAGAGGTTGAAGTTCATGTGGAGGGGAGGCCTCAAGTTGTAGTGTTTTATCTCTTGGGAACAATGCCGAAATAGGATTTAGCCAGTGAACTTTTGTCCATATGTGAGAATATATCAGATCGCAAGGACTATCTTTATGTTCTTTTGGTGCTGTACGACTACTCAACACAACATTTAGTGATCTGGGCTGGCTGGTTTTCTCTCCCTCGCTTGCCTTATGTGAATACTAATGATTAATTCATCGTTTAAGTCGTTTATCAAGTAAAAATGCAGAGTTAGCCAGCTTTCTAATGTGAGCAGTTTGCTGCTTTTTCTCTTTACTTTTAATGTAAATTGAATCTATTTGAGTTTTGGGCTGTTGGTCAGACATCCTGTTTGGCTTTGGGGAACTGTGATTAGGATTGGATTTTTAAATATTTTTTGGGCATAAACTGATTGATGGATATATAGAAGAAATAAATGACACAGTCACCTCAGTTGAATCAATCTCTAACACAGTGTAAACAGAAAGTGAGTGAAGTTTTTATCTCTAGTCTTTGCATTTTGCGATATTTGTTCATGTTAAATAAATTACACAAACAAAAGTTAAATATTTGAAGTTTTTCTGAAATAATTCTGGAAGAAATTTGACTGTTTGATTCATCTAAAAGACATATTTGTGTATGCATCTATCTTAAAAACAAACCCTAAAATATGACACTAGATGATAAAGAATAAATATGGATATATTTCCCATCTCTAGTACAGCCTGTCAATTGATTACCATTTCCATATGTGTGTAGTCTCCTTCTACTGCTCTAAAGCCACCATACTGTACCATTTTCTAGCTCACAGATTATCCAGTTCAGACTTTGAGAGGACACTGGAGATTGACCAAATACTCAGGCCAGTTAACTATTTCCGTATCTATTTAACTGAGTCAGCCTAAATATGTTCTGGACAATCTCTGAGTAGTGCCTCTATCGTCATGTGTGCTGAGGATTAGAGCTGCTGTATCGAGGCTTATAGAGATATGTACTCTGCCTCTATGTTAATGCAGTGTGTATTAAACTGTGTGTATGTGCCATGTATTGTTTGTATAAATGTGTGTGCTGATGTTGAACACTGTAGTAAGTTGTTGTTTTTGAGAATTATTAAGCTGTTTCTGTAAAGATACACCATGTAACTCCTTGCTCATTTTATACATGGAAACACTGAATTTAATATGTTTATAATTAACACTCGCATTTCTGGTCCATCTCAGAGTTACAGGAGGAGGAGGAGCTCCTGGAGGCCAACTGTCAGCACTTGGAAAACTGTCTGGCTGAGCGGGAGTGCACCTTAGGAGAGCTACGCAAGGAGCTGAGTCACAAAGGGGCTTTGGTGGGAGCCCTCAGAGCCAATCTCAAGGAAAAGGAGCGCCATTTCCTGGAAGAGCTCAAACGCCGCAGCCACTGTTCCACCATCCTCAACACGGAGCTGCAGAAACAAACCGAGGCAGCAGCATACCTCTCCTTCCAGCTGCATGCTGCCAGGCAGAAACTGCACCACCAGCGGATGCAGCAGAGGCAGGGACTCCTTGCCAGAGCCAACAGTCAGGGGGCCCAGTACGGTGCTGAGCAGAACTCTGGTTCTCTACAGATGCCATCAGGAGCCTCCCCTTCCTCTCCAGTGGTTAAACCCAAGCGTAAGAGTGCACGAGCATCTTCAAGGGTGGAGCGTGCGCGGGAGTGTGTGCCCATAGAGAAAGTGATGGGCCCTGAAGAGCCCACAGCGATGCCGGACCCTGCGCTCTTCCTCCACCCTCGACGGCACAGGGCTCGCTCCAGGCACACTGTGGCACAGAGACAGCCTTCGCTGGGCCTGGAGAAGGAGGATGAGGAAGGTGGTGGGGAGGGGCCAGTGGAGCCCCAGGATGAAGCTGCCAGACTGATGTCTTCAGCTGCAGCGCCCCCTGCTGCTGAGACAAAGGCAGATTAGTGACTACTGTGACCTGAGCTTTTAACTGCAGTTTGATCACTGTATGATTATCTTCTGTCAGACTGTTAATCCTGTTAACTGTTGTTCTGCACCTTGACTGATACTGAGACTGGTTTTAGCTATTGAATTATATTACACTTATTGTAGACACTTTTTTAAGATGGACTTTGATATAACCTTAAATAATTTGCAAAGCAAAACTTAGTAAGTGTCACTTTAAGTCAGTCTTAAGTGAATTAGATAAATGATCTGTTTACACTGGTGTCTCATGCTCAATATACAGTGGGGCCTTATTTCAAAGCAACCCCTTTTTGATTTATGAGTTGTGAGTTTGACCATGGTAGCAACCATTTATGGTGGACTACAAGCCTTGCGGGGTGGCCCAACCAAATGTGACCTTTCAAGGCCAACCATAAATCAACCATGTGACCAAACGTTTGCGTGGCCCCTGACTGAGTGACAGCTGAAATATCGGATATGGCGTTCACGTCTGTGAGTCCTCCATGTGAAAAAATATAGATTGGAAGGAAGTGTGTTCCTGTTATTTGGGAAAAAACAACGACAACAGATTAGAAACAATAATATTTGAATCCAAGACTGCTCCATATCACTCTATTACGTTATATATCGATCAATCGTATCTGTATTACACTTCAAACCATTTGCCACAGAAAATATTATCTGATTTGTTGAAAGGAATTCATGAAAATAATTTATCAGGACACTTAAATATAATTCCAGTATGGTCTCAATTTGTGTTTCCCCTAACCTTTACCGAAACCTTTAACCTCAACCTCTTATCTCCGAAACAACTGACCACACGCCAACATAACGACAGAAGGCAACGCTTCAGGAAACACTATTTGAGGGAGAAACAGAGATCTGCCAACAGCTGAAACCGTTTCAAACCAGTGTTGTGCGAGGTATTAACAGCAGGTAAATGTAGCAACAATAATTATGCTTCACCATGGCCTCAAGTGACAAACTTTAAAAATAGCAAAGTGTATTACTGATTATTATACTTTATTTCAGACCATATGAAAAAAATGATACATTTTACAACCATTATACGTATCACACAGAGCATCAAAAATATAAATGCATATCATAGTAAACTAAAAATTAACTCTCCACATCTCAGTACTTACGTAACACACTTTTTTTTGTCATTATCTTAAGAATACATTTCACCTAATTTGTGGTTAATAAAGCAGCTGTTAACTTGCAGGACACGTGCAAACTTTGTATCTTGGACTAAATATTTAGTGTCTAAAAGCTACACATTGAGGGCAGGCTGTAGTGACTGCCTTGTATAAACAGGCCACATTCAGGTGACGATATGATTGAACCGTTGGACCATGTGTTTCACTCAGGTGTGGTTTGTGTACTAAACACACACACACACACACACACACACACAACTACTACTTCAACTTATTTGTGTTTGAGGTTGTTGTGTTGGGGTTTCTTTTTACCTCAGGAAAAATGGATAAACGAGAACGTGACTGGATCTTTTGGTGTTTGAGTTTGAAGATGGTCTGTTTGCAATGTGTTCCTTTTTACATTTTTACACAGATTCCCAAAGTAGCTGTGTTACAGCGCACGCCCAGAGAGTGACTGTGTACTGTAAATGAAGAGAAGGCAGGCTCAGCAGAAAGCTGTGTGTGTGTGTGTGTGTGTCCTCTGTTATCAAAACACATGCTCTTGGTGGCCCCTAGTGTGACAAGGAGCAAATAGCACCTTGAAAAAAAGACAATTTCTACTTTAATTGATTATATTTTAATGTATTTTGTGTTATTGCTTCACTGTTGTCCACTTATACCCGACTGTAATTGCTGCCTTATAATAGAAGAGCTGTGGATATAATGCAGTGTGGAAACTTAAGACATTTATTTACTAAAGTATTGCGTCCTTTTGTTTCTGAAACACTTTTCTAAGACTATTTGGGATTTGCATATAAAGGTTTACTGTATGTAATGTGGCACCTTAGTTATTTTTGATTCAAATTTTTGTCACAGTCGGTCTGTACTTGAGCCATGACGTAACTGAGCATCAGTCAGTGTCTTTGAAATGAGCCCTCCCGTAGGACTGAATTTAATTGTGATTAGCTGCTGTGAGGCTTTTCTCGCCTTCTACAGCTACCGGTTAGAAGTTTAGCGTTAAGTTTTTTTGCAGTATATCTTCAATAAAGCAATATATCAATATATTTATATATTATTAGTGGGTCACGTCAGCTGGTTTTAAGAACACTTCAGGTGTTAAAATAGATTTTATGATTGTTTAACTTTGTATTTTGTAATGGTTGAGCTCAGTATGTTTTGCTTATTAATATTTTTCTGAACTGTCTAATAGATTGTTTGTTGACTGTCTGTCTGAATCTTTACAGGATTGAATTCTTATGTTACAGTTAATAGGAGGCATATCCAAGCGAGGAATTGATGACATGCTGCATGTGAAGCAGCATTAAGCCAATGGGCATATTATTATGCCACACGAGACTGTCTGGATGAAAACGAACTAAACCTGTCTTCATTTTTCTTTTCTTTTTTAAGCAAAAATGCAAATGTGACAAGGGTTTTCATTCACCTGTCAGCTGGTAAAGCCATTAGCATGACTGTGTGCACTACTCTTCCTCAAGTTTTATGAGACAGTAGGGGATAAAGGTACAAAGCTGTCTTGTTGAGAAACTGTTTTTTTCTGAACTTGGACTGTTAAGACTTCATCACTCCACATGTCATCCAAACGAAACAGCAGATAGATTTAAGGCTCCATCCACCTTTTAATAATCTAGTTAACATCCTGCATCATCTCACATTTTAGATGATCTGTACTTTGGTAATTATGTAACAGCTTGATAAATGATCAAAATACTGGCTGCTGTGTGCGAGGCACTGGTGACTTGTTTGCCTGCTTTTGAAGGAGAATGCTAATGAGCCAAAGAGGCCCACCACTAAAAATGAACATGAAGACGAAGGGTGCGATGCCTTAATGAAGATGTCTTTTCATGAATATTTCAGAGAGTAAATCTCACCGCCTGATTTGCTTTTTATACTTTTCAGACGATACCACAGTTAATCTCACATCACTCTGAACATAGCAAGAAAGTAGATAATTTACTCACACCCACAGGGAACGTCTTCCATCCTTTCTAAACGCCTATATAACAATAACCCTAATCCTCATAATAATAATGAGAACAAACGTCAGCAGCAGCGTCTTCAGGTCTCGTCCTTCTGGTTGAGGTCAAATTTTGCATCTTTGAGAGACATTTCAGTGGCCTGTACGGTGCCATAAAGCATCTTGTTTGACACATTATGTGGTCTCTAGCAATAATGCTGTGTGGTACCCAACAGGGAGATGTTGCTCTGGGTCGTTGTATGGTTTGGTCATCGGGGGAGCAAAAGCTACTGACTGATTACCGCATATACTGTGTTAGCTTCCTATAGTGATCGACTGTACACATAATTGGAATAAAATGAAGGATTGTCAAGTCTGCTGCCTGCTTGTTATTGTTGCTTGAAGGTTTATCAGAGAAAACCTGATTTGATAGAAACTGAGAATTAATTAGCTGGTGATTAAATGATGAAGCTCGATTGTTTTTGTTTTGTTTAAATCACCCTCGATGGATGAGAGACTGAAGTTCATTTGGTTGGAGTCAATATCACCTGAATCCAACAGCACAGCTTCAACACAGCTTTATTATATAACAAAAATAAATAAATAACTAGGGTGTTATTTAATTTAGATCTTTCTGTACATTATTCTCTTTTACATTCATTATCTACGATATTAGTCAAGCCACTAAGATATAAACAATTTACAATAAACATAAAAGTAAAATGCTTTGGATCTCTCTGAGAAAGACCAGCCTCATTTTCTGTGTATTTGTTTTGTAAGAGGAGCCTGAAACTCTCCTGATACGGTTATCTGCACCTTGTAAAATGTCATTACATTAAAAAAATACAATGTTTCAAGCCCAAATTGGCTCTTTGTTTGGTACAGAGGAAGTGATTCCTCAGGATTTATTTATTTTTAGACAAGATAAATTGTTTTCACACTGAGGTGAAGGTGCATACACATTTACACATTGTATTTAAAGGTCCAGTGTGTAACATTTAGGAGGATCTATTGTCAGAAATCGAATGTAATATTCATAGGTATGTTTTCATTAGTGTATAATGTTGTATATGTTGTGTTTTTGTTACTTTAGAATGAGACGTTTTTATCTACAGATGCTGCAAGTTGCCCGAGTCCTCCATGTTGAACCAGCGTAGTTCTACAGTAGCCCAGAATGGACAAACCAAACAATAAATAGAGCCTTTTGCATTTTTCAGGCATATTGCAGCCACTGTAGTTTCTCATTTGTGCTTGGAGCTGAAGGGTGAAGTGAGGGAGTAACTTTTGACACTTTTGGTCCTTTAAGTTATCATTAAATCAGTATTGATTGTAAAAAGTAATTTTATTGAGTTTGTCTATTTGACAGACCAAATACTTAATAAGGTGATTATGCCTTTTGTCCCTCAGTAGGTTCATTAACACTGTTTGACAACATAACACAGGATTACTTCAACTGGGCTCATTTTACAGTGGAGGAGCGAGGAAACAGGGTTACCAATGAGTGTATGAATACTTTCATGGTATTCTTTGCTATCCTACTCTCACAGGGGTCATGGTTGAATCATTTAGGCTCTGATTGTCCTTCAAAGGTGAGACAAGGTGAGTGCTGATAGTAGCCTTAAAGCTGTTTTTATTTCACCAGGAAATCATAGATTGATCAGATAGAAACTGCTCCCTGTATAAATACTCATATACTGATCTGTTGTATAACAGTTCACTTAAAATGTGGACATGCAAAGTATTAAAAGACATCAAGGTCTTAAAGTGAGTCTTTACTACCTGATTGAGGTCAAAGACCGATGTTGTGTCGCAATTTTACTGAATTGATGTGACTGATCCTATTAACACACAGTAGATGTGGTGTGATGTGGTACTGCAGCATCAGGATACTGTAACTCTGTAACTGTGACTGGGGAACTGAGGGTTAATAAGGTCCCTTCAGTCCAACTAGGAGTTGTGCTGCTCTCAGTGTGGAGCTGATGACATTTGTGGATTTAATAACAGAACCAATATCGTGATACTTTGTCTTTACAATCAGCCATTGATCCCATTTAATCTTGCAGTGCAAAATAAAGTCTAACCTGCCACAATAACCCCCCCGCCCCCCCAAAAAAAGACCAAAGAGGAGTTTGTAAAAAAACCCGATTTGTCTCATGTGGCTTCCCGTAGCGCCACGCTCAGTGGGTGGGGAGGTGCAACGCAAAGGCAAAGAGGTCAAGAGGAGGGGAGGAGTAACCACGTGTGATCACCACCATGTACAGCACTGTCCTTCCTCGGTAGACTTGTTTTTGTAAGCTTGTACCCTTCGCATGTAGCCAGCTAGCCTGCGTTACCCGGAGAAGCAGATTCCTTTTTGTATTTCTTACACAGACTCACATATTCAAGCGCCGCTGCTGGGGGATTTGTGTTGCCACACTGACTGCCGACCATGGTGAGCAAGACAGATGACATCCCGGCGTCAGTGCCTAACTGTAATCCGGTTGATCTCGCGGATGAAGCCGGGGATGGAGCCCAGGACAGCAAAGAGACCAGCAAGACAGGTCTGAAGGATCCCTGCGGTTGTGGTGAGACCCTGCAGCAGCAGAGCGACTCATATCTGCTGTTTGTAACACCTGACACACACACTGAATACACTGATCACACCTATCATATACAGTGAACTGCATCCCTGTGCTTTCACTCTGCTCACTGGGCTTTATTGGTTGTTGTCTGGTGTGTTGTCCCTGCAAAGCATTCCCTAAAGCTGGTGACATTCATCTCCATGCTTTGTGACTTTAAAGTCCTCAGACCCAAGGTGGTGGTGGTGGTGGTCTGTGAGATCTACCCCTCCTCCTCCTCCTCCTCCTCTTCCAAGTTTGGAGGGTCCACCTAGCAGCATCTGCTAATCAGCCTGTCTGGTGTTAATATCTGGATTAATTAGCAAACTCGCAACCTCCTCCAGGGTCAGATCCTCTTCTACATCCATTATCTATCCGCACGTAGTCCCGGCTGCACACAGGGCTCACCCCAGACAGCCGGCACGCTAACACTGGCCTCCTCATTCAATTGTCCCTGTCGTGTTGTCGCGTCATGCCCCAAAAGACGCGCACAGGCTGTGAAAACGGAGGTTCGAGCCTCTCGTACGGTACACTGTTGGTTCACCTGACACGGTGCAGCG